ATTCTGTTTCACTTGAATTCCCCAAGTTCAACTGAAACAAAAGAAATTTAAAGCTTTCAGTACAACAGTGGTAGGTTAGGGGTCCAAGAATGAAATCTTCTGCTGCCATCCCAAATACAGCAAACAGAAGAGACAGTAATGCTAAAATAGTCTGAACTTGCCCACACATTTCCCAGACAAAGAAAACCCACCATTGCGACTTTAAAGTTTAAAGTCATACTCTGAAAACCATCACGTTCATTGCCCTTATGGAGGAGCTCTCATACTGTAACACATAACACCTGCATCTTTGCCAACAATACAACAACCAGACTTTGTAGAACAAAATAGTTCGAATGGCATTGGCCGCCCATGAGGGGTGTTTGGGCTTTTTTGCAGCTATTGTGAACACAGAACAATTGATGCTGTTAAACATCTGCCTCACACCCCTGATAGTAAATGAAGAACAATTACGGAAGAGGGAGGTATTTAAAGAATGTCTTCACTATCCATTAAAAGCTAACTCAACAAGTCGATGATAATAATGATTAAGATTTTGAACACAGCCACAGAAAGCAATACAGCCTTCCTGACAAGCATCATATAGCCAAATGATAAATATGGAGTCTAGCAACTACAAATATAAGCATTTAAAATAAACATTGCTGTACATGGGATATAGAGCATGACAGCCAATACACTTGAGCAGCACAATTAGCTGAATCAGCTCCACAATGACTGAAATCTGCACTCAGTATTAACAATTAGACAAGGGGAAACAATCTTCCCAATGCTATACAGTGGCATGAAAACCGCAGTGGCCCATTCTCTAAAGTTCTGTGATGGCAATGCCCTCCTCCCACATGAACGCAGCATTAAGTATTCCCATATATACTAGCCCACAAGGACACATTCAACACTCACTGGGTTTCAGGGAATGCTAATGTCCGCTTGCCTCCATCCCCACTAAGGCTAACGGAGCCTTTTCGATAGCAATGGGTGGGCTGAATAATTCTGGGAAGACTAGCTGGAGACCTGAAGTAGGATGCTAAAAAACCCAAATCCTTAAACTGACAGTTAGCTTGCATGTACTGCTATTGCCTGCTCTTTGCCAAACAGAATATACTTCAAAATTATTGGAAAAAGAGGGTTAACATTTTGCATAAGCACTTCAGTTATTAACTGGCTCACATTAACAATCAACTAGGCTAACATAACAAACAATTCTTGTTACTCAAACTGGCGTCATTGTAATGAGCTCCAAATTAATCTCATCCGTACACAATCACTAATCTTGCTTCGTGCCAACTGAATTTTTAATCAGAACAGAGTGAATCATAGGTTGTTTTTAAAATACATTTCTAATACTTGTCATCCAAAATGAATAAACACTAGAGCAGGGAAGAACTTTTCTATTTACATTCTGAGAAGCTGATTTTATTTATGCATACTATACACACAAGCATCAAACGCATACGATAGGTGAGAAAATTTTTAATGAAAATAAAAAATAAGCATGTTTATTTCTAATAATGCTTTGAGCATGAATAGCGTCACCAAGCTAAAAAATCTAGCCCTCTGACTGCAATTAAAACTGTATGACAAACCAAAATTAAAGGAACAGTTGCCCCTTTGTTGAGTTGCTCCTCGATCTCTACATCATTCTAGAAGACGAGTAGACACACAACCAGACCCTGCAACCAGTAGAGTAACTACTTCTGGTAAGGCATGTAATGAAGCATATATTTTGCAGTGCTGAACTTGAGATTCAACCTGAGTTTCAAACCGAAGTGACTTCGCGCAAGACGTAGAAGCAAAGCTGAGTTTCAATGAGCAGTTTTGACTTGCTTCTGCAATTGCAATACCAGTTTAATAAAGCAAGAGTGCTCAACATATCACCCCACTACTGAAAGACAGGCCCAACCATTGAGGACTTCTTTGGGAAAAAAAAAAAAAAAAAAGTACGAAGTCTTCACCTACAGCATCTAGTTTTTCAAATGCAGTATTTCTGGAATCTTGTTTTAGCTGTCTGGCTAACAGCTGCTTAACTGAACACCTGTTACTGCGCTTAGATGAAAACCTAACTTGAAGGTCTGCCCACGGCCATGGAAGCTGAAGGAGCGAGTGAAGCGATCTGCAGCACAGCCATTCAAATGTCTTCAGGGAGGTCTACTGACAGCCTCTATTAGAGCCACACGAGCTTGAGGAATCTGGAGGACCTGGTTCTCATCTCAAGCTAAGCATAAGGCCTGACTCAAGCCGTGTAACAGCATGTGATGACTTCTGCTCGGAAAACAAGACACTCAGGAAGATGAGAGCAGTGCAGGAGGGCCCAATGTCAGAATTCCCACAGCGCGTGTTACTTACTTAAGAGACTGTGCTCCTCATTTAAAACCATCTACATGCTTTTATGCATGGTAGATTCTGTTTTGATTGCCAGGAACGGTTGCATCAAAACTATTTGACGATTGCTTAAGATTAAGAGCATTAAATTACGCTCAACGTGCTAATCTATTTTTCCTTACAGTCAGTAGAAAGATATGTTAACACATTAAAATTCTGCTAATATCTTAGAATTCAATTAAAATTATCTTCATTAAACAGCTCTAAGATCTGTGGAAAAAAGGGAGTTATTCAAATCTTTAGCATAATAAGCAAGTTACTGTTAATGTAACATTCTGATGAAAAACTCTTGCATTCTATGTTGAATATTAAAAGGCAAATGCAAAAGCAAAAATACACCACGTAGACCATAGCTGCAAGGTGGAGATAACACGCTCTCATAACATCAGGATGGACTGCAGGAGAATGACCAAGGACCTCATGAAAAAAGGTTACATTTACATAGCAAGGCATAATGACCAAAGGAAAGCTGTTGGCTCGCAAGATTTCTTTTTTGGTTTGTTTTCAATTAATTTTAAAATAGGCTGGTTAGTATCTCATTATGCATCAAGGAGCAAACGGCTCTTCAAGCCGCTTTCCAACAAAGAGTACAGGAAGTTTGTTCTGCACTTAGGTAGAAGAAAAGCAACGCTCCCAAAAGAAGTATCATTAATGAACAATGTAAGAAAGAAAACTAAGGATGTTTTTATCCTTGCAGGTTCCCCTGTGGATCACCAGTGCTAGTGACTTCTTTTCACATGAGAAATATGGCATCTTATCACACTCCATCTGAACCGCAAGATGTCCCAAATTATCTTTAATATCTCATTTGCTATTAGTTATTAATTTCAGCTTTCCAGCACATTAAAAAATGCTCCTCTTCCTTTAACATCAACTGAAGAAAGTGTTTGCTAGTGTGAATACTTCTCAGAAGGTTGGAAGATTGTGAAATAACAAAACAGAAAAAAGGGAAAATAGGAGAGCTGGTAAACAAAAGATTGTGAAAACAGTTTTAGAACTGTCATATGAAGTAAAACCTTTTCTATAAACAAGCCTAACAAAATAGCTGTTCAGCAGCACCATGACTCCTTCCCAAAGGAGTTTGTGACCTTAACAGGAAAGTGGTTAGGGGAAGAAAAGAAATAAGACATTCACCTTTTAAAAATTCTGTTAGATATGCTAAAAATAATTATTAAAACCAATTATTTTAAGATTGTGTAGTTTCTCAATATGACTTACTATGAGGTGAATAAAGCTGAAACCAAAAAATAACACATCTGTCACATCACACGCGAAGGACATGTTCAATTCTGTGGCCACTGCCTCATGTTCCCCAAAACTGAACAGTACAGCGAAACAGCTTCTGACTGACTTTGGAGAGCTCCCATACCAGATGAAATCACCCAGCTGCCCTGGAGACGTGCTGACAAAGCACAAGAGAGGCTGCAGGAGAGGACTATGCAAAGATCCTCTCCCTCAGCAAGGCTCTACACCAGAAGTTCAACTAAAAGACATTTCCGAGGTGTCTGTTTTTGCCAGTGATTTCCATATACCCTAACAGGCAGCTTATAAAATAAAATATATTTAAAATGTCAATTTCTTTTTGGGTCAGATTTCCAATAAGAGCTGAAAAATTTGAGGGAAAAAAAAGAAATGAGATCATCACCTACTGTGTGGGTGACTGAGCAGGAATTACAGTAGAGCTACCTGGCAAAGGCAAACTTTTTTGATACAGCCACTAAACTCTGCACCATAACCACAGGCACTGCACACTTACTGGAAAAAAAAAATATGCCCAAATCCTATTGACAAACAATACTGTTGACACAGAAACAAGGCTGCAGGTCTGCAAAGGCAGAAGAATGGAGCCCCAAAAGAGGGGAAGAGTAAAAGAGCAAAATGCTCTGAGTTTCAGAATGCCTTAATATGGCTTTCCTAACTACTAGGAACTTCTGTGAGGGAGAAGTATTTTAAAAGTATAACTATTGTTAGCTTCTTCACACAAGGCTTTACTACTTGAGGCTAATTTTGGATAGTGAACAAAATGCTTGGTCTCAGGTTATGGTGTTTCTTCTTCCGTAGTAAGAAGACTACGTAAAAATATTTTCTCATTAAGTTAATTTTTGACCATTCTGCCTTTTACAGGGGTATTTCTTTGTCTTTATGGTAACACCAACACATATGATAAGATAGCTTTCTTTGATGTAGCAGTTCCAACAACATACAACCTGGTTCTATTCTTGCTCAGGAAAAAACAAAAATCGACACCACTATGCAAAATTATGCTACTTCTTCTAGAACTAAAAGCTTTTTAAAGACACAATTGATCAATCCTTTTTGCTGAGACAGATCTTTCAAGATGGTCAGATATTAAATAGACATCTTTTTAAAGATACTCTGAGTAGTTACTGCAAACGTCATCTTTTCTTGAGTAAAATATTTAAAAAAACCCCTCATATTTACGGATTCAACCTTAAATCTAGTTAGAAGACAAAGTGTTTATACTCACATAACAGTGAGATAAAAGGTGGCTTTTTTTTTTATTCTGCATTGTTAGCAAATTCCTATTGCTGAAGCTATTCTAAAAAAAGCCAAGCTTCTTTGTATGGTATAAGGTTCTTAAACAGCAAAGTACTTACATGCAAGGCAGAAGGATCTGGCAAAAATTCAGCATCCTCTCCAAAGATAAAATCTGGTGGCAGGTCAGGATAGTGAGCATTGAAAATTATATCCCCTGAAATATAATAAATGAAAACATTGTTTACACTTTTATGTATGTGCTTATAAATAAAATATTGCACATGAGATACAAATTTTTAATATAAAATTTGATAGCTACATTAAATATATTTCATGTATATATCCATATAATTTTTACAAAAATTCACATGCATATAAGCATCAGATGTTTTGGGGGATGAAGTCAAATTCCTGAGGCACAGCTTCTTCCTCCTCTGCAAGCAATGAAACATGAAACACATTATTGCTTCATATCTCAAATGGCAATTCAAACACTATTGAGAGTTGCCTCAAAACTCTGAGTTAGAAAAGTGATCTTGTTTATTAAAAAAGTACCACATTTAGATTGCTGTGTTGTGCATATTAAGTTGAAGTCAAATGCAAACTGCTAAGATCAGGATTTTCAAAATACTGGAGCTTTTAAAACTTAGTAGCACTTACTCCCTCTTCTCCTCACCACCCCCAACTCTTAGAAAGAAGAATACGCAGTTCAATTGGAACCATTCCAACTATCCAAATTCTGGCCAAGAGAAATGCAGTATTACACATTTAAATGGAGAGACTAAAATTAACTAAAAATATAAGACTTCATCACAGCTTGGCACCGAGTTCTCATCTTGCCAATGTCACAAGATATACAATTAATTACTGATGGTTGACTACCCAAAGAAATTTGGGTTGTATTATTTTACTAGCAAACATACTTCAGAGTTCATGTAGGTCAGGAGGTGGTCATCTGCATGTGAGCTCATAAAAGCACACCCACCATTCAAGAAAAAAAAAGTATCTAGCATTACTTCTCTACCTCCCAATCTTTCTTTCCTCCTTATGAAGATATGAAAGAATAATTCCAAGCTTTTGCATAAAGCAGTTCTGTGAAGTAGCAGGCATTAGAAGAAGTCTGTACCTATTATGCGTTACCACTTGTATAAAATCTACACAGCAAAATAAAACCAGTGTGGTAAGCCTTACAAACAATTCTGTTCAGAGAAAGTTAAACTACTTTTGATTTCTTCAACAATTACGAATGCACAACTGGAGAAAAGCATTAGACGAATAAATCTTACAAAGCCACACTGCTGGCTCAGTGATGTCACCATCTCAAGACATTCAACACAACAGCTTTAATTGTTAATATTCTGTAAACTTATCTTGGCTCTAGCTGAAAGCAAGTATGCTGTAAAGATTAATTTGCAGAGGCTGAAGGGCTCATGACCAACTGCCAACTGCCAGTCTGGGGTAGGTATGCTCTACGGTATCTCTCCAAATCATGAACTCACTGATCACACAACTCAGTAGAGCACAGTGTGGGTTTCTCCTGTCTGCACTCCTACCTTCCTTTCACAAATGTCAGGAGCATATGTTAAGTACAGTAAGCAGAAAAAAGTAGAGGTCTGCCAGTTAAAATATCCAACGCAGTATGCATAAAACCAATCCTAGAGAAAAATGCATAAAATTACAACAGGAAATGCACCTATATTAAGTAAGAGAAAATAATTACTGGAGTGCTTAAACTGTAATACAGCAATGAAGAATTCACCAAAGTTGATGTTTACTAGACTGGGTACTTCCTATGCCACTATAACTCAACCCCTTTTTTCATATCTACTGCAGTTAAAAAGTCATGTATGACTCTTTACAATAAGCTCACCAATTTCTACGTACAGAGGAGGCAACTCTTGAGGTTATGCGTTTAAGGAAATAGCACCTTAAAATACATTTTTTGACTGAGCTTTGCTTCATAGATAATGGGGCATGTTATGAATAACTCAGAACACAGCACAACGTAAAAGCTTGGCCTGTGACTTAGGTAGCCCAATGCTACTCTGAGGGAAAGAATTTTATCTGTGTTTTTGCCATGTTCTTATGTGATGCCAAGTAGTTCATTTAATATATACTTTTCATATTGCTGCTGCTAGTTGCATGCTTTTAACTTTCTGTGTTCCTGCTTTAAGAGAGTCGATGACAGAGTACACATAGCTACAACTCAGCTCACTAGGAGCTGCACCAGCAACTACATAGATAATACAAAAGGCTACTTAGAATAAAAGAAGGATCAAAATAACCGCATATTTTTGTGTTATATCTCCATATTTGATTAGTAAAAAACTATTACAGAACCTTACATCACGAGGTGGCTCCAAGACTCTGCTTGTAGTAGTGAGATAAACTGTATTCACCTAAATAAACTGTATTCACCTCTGCAAGCTCCACTTTAATGGGTGAACCTCAGGCAAGCTGTGATAGTAGGTGCAATGTGAAGGTTCAAGCAAGTCCAAACTCTTTTTCCTCTCAGTGTTTTCAGTTCTACAGCAACATGAAGTGAAGAGAACCCACAGCAGCTACCAGAACAGCATCATATGCAGTGCTCAAGTATGACAGTAAATTAAAATTGGCATTATTAGTTTAACATCATAGGTGGTAAACTTTTACAATTTGGGGTTCAGGTCCCCTGCATATCCCATGTAGTGATTCCTGAATCCTGCTGTGGGACAGGGCCAGCAGCTGAGGACAGTACCCTCTGTGACCACTCAGGTGTGATGTGTGGCCACAGTGAGGTCAGGCATGTCACAATTGCAGCTGGCCAAACCGATCTATTACCTCTCTCACATGCTCATAGCTCTTCATTACCTTCTATCGCACCCTCTCTTCCCCTGAATGTTAGTGGCATATCACTCCTTATCCACAGCGAGTAACCAACGATGCAGACATTTTGGTTTAAAAAGTTTTCATGACCTACTGAAACCACAGAACTATTCAGTACAAGGGAGAGAATCCAGACTAAAAAGTAACATTGTGATATTTGATTTTCTGTTACTATGACTTACAATTGCTTCTACTTGCCCAGCGTAAACATGCCTCAAATCCAAAATTCCAAGTCCCTTTAGTAAGCCAATATATCAGCATTAAAGCCAATGTATATTCCAAGATTATTTTTCCTATAGTATAGTAATTTTCCAAAAGGCTATATAAATACAGTATGGCTGAAGGGTTCTCTATGCTTCAAAATAAATAAAACTATTATTTCAGTGCCTGTTAATCATACAATCACAAAACACTAGTGCCGAGACCATACTCAAAACATTTTACAACTCCATGGAACCTAAAAACCCATGCTGTTGTCCTTATTTTCTAACTAAACCAGAAACATATAATTTAATGAATAATTAACACTCTCTTTCCTACAGTACCATAGGTTTTTTTATGCAAATGTAAACTCTAATTTATTCTGATACAGTCAAACCTCACACAGGCTGGGTGACAATAAAGACAAAAAAAGTGCAAACCAAAATGGCGTTTCCAGTTCAATGTAAACATTCAGAAAAGAGCAGCGCTTCTCTATCATCAGTGGTTTTCAGTCTGTCAGTTAAATACAACATCTTACTATTGAAGATGATAAGATCTGACCTTAGAACAATTTTTTCATGTATTTAGAAAGGAAAAAAGCATCCCCTCAGTCAAATCTTATTCTAGTAAGTCTCATTTCTGCCATAAATCCAAAGACATTTGAACAGTTGCTAAAATGAAAGAAAAAAGAACCGTTTTTTGAACCATGTTAGACATTCACCGTGGCCTCTGTAACTTTTCTGCTCCATCCTCTCCCCTTCCATATATTTTCTCTTATGCCTTGCTTAATTTACCATACGAGGACAGAAAAAGTAACACCTTTGACACCAGAAAGCTTAGGTACCAAGGAATCAGTTTGCCCCATTCGCAACTACAAGCATGAGCTATTGTCATAAACTATATATTCTCAATAAAAATACATCATTACAAATCAGATTAAAGATTAAGGGAACCAATCCTAAATCTGAGTTTTGTTCTTGTTAAAGAAGCTAGAGAAATTAAAACTGCAGTTAACAGTTTGCTTGGCAGGGTTATGACGCATAAATAAAAAATGCTTCTTTACTCTCAAATAAAACATATTTAAACAATTGTAATGGGCAATGCAACAGCAAATCTGGTTTTACTTCACACAACTAGTAAAACTAGTCTCTGCAGTGAGCTTACAAAATATAAGGCATTAAATATTTTGAATCACAAGCTATCAGTTTGCCCTGACCTAGTAGAAATATCAATTTTTTTTAACAACTACTTTATTTAATAACCTACATGATATTACCTGTGGCTTACCCTCTTCATATATAATTGTACTTGGGTAAAAACATAGAATTTTCAACCAATAAAGCCATTTGCAAAATTATTGTGCTTAGAGTCTAAGAATGGGTACCATTTCAATTTCAAAAGCAAAACCACAAAAAAAAAAAAAAATAATCAGCGTAGTCCTACATTCTCTCCACTTCTTGCCCTAATCAAACAAATACCCTTTTCGGTGCATCTCCAAGCACAGGTATGTAGTTCCTCATATGTTTCAACTCTGTTGGGCCCTATTCCCTTGACAGAAAGCAAACTGTGTGGCGTTCCACAGCACTATTGACCATTCCAGCGTAAGAACAAAGGAAGCAAGACATTCACACTCAGACCATATTTATCTCATTTCTGTAGATATACTGGCCAATAATTACTTCAGCAGAATTTCATTTCCAATTAAATACTACTACGGAATTTAAAATTACTTAGATAAAGTTAAAGCCATGGAGTCAAAGATAAATTTAGAAGGAAAAGGATGTATTATATATCTTTTGCTTTTCATTATCCAAAAATACTACTTTCTCTTCCTTTTCTTTCCTCAGGCAAACAGCATTAAATTTTGAAATATTTTACTTCATAGGATTTCAAAAGAAAAGTTAATATACTGCCAATAGACAAAAAGATAGAAATATTAATACTTAAATCCATCATTTCTTTTAACACACATGCACACACAGACACTGTTCTTTTCTCATCTATCAAAATGCATAACCAAGTCTAACAAAGTGGTAAGGATTTAACTACAAGTAAGACAAGTGTAACTCTGAAACTGAGAAATTTCTTAAATTCTTACAGCTGCTTTCCACTGGCCTATCCTATACATAGTTTTCCCCCTCCTGATAA